CGCCACCAGCCCCACCACTGCCACCACCTCCTGCCTCACCAACTCCACCAAGCAATGACGGCTGCAGCCCATGTTGCGCTGAGAACATAGTATTTGTATCCCACGTTGTTTTGAGAGCATAGTATTTTTATCCCACGTTGCGTTGAGAGCATAGTATTTGTATCCGGGCAGCAACTTGTATGGGTTTGGGGATTAATTCGCCCAGCCTGGGCTTCGTGCAGCAGGATTTATTTTTCCCCAAAACATATTTCTGACAGAGTGTGATATCCTGTCGTCTTCCACGTCGGTGGCTATTATGCATTTATTTTAATTTGTAATCTTGCAAAGGACGGCAGACAGGCAGGGTGGCACTGTGCTAATGCCCGTGCCTATCCAATTGTATGTCCTCTTCCCCTGTTCTGATGGGTTTCCTTTCGGATTATCCGGTGTACTACACATTGCTAACATAACCTCACATACCATGTATTTAGTATTGACCAAAGTACCCCAAATGCTGAAAATAACGTGCAAATTACTCATTTGGAATCACACGCAGCAGCGACATCGCCCCCTGCTGTAGAAACTTGGAAAGACCTTCCTGAGATAAGAGTCTTGAGACGCGGTGAGGCTTGGCTGGGTAAACATGTGGTATGATACTAGTAATAATAATGATTACGTTGTTTTCCTTAATTATTTGTGACTATCGTGGACGATATGATCGGTTCGAAGCACGGGATCTCAGCGGTTGACACGGTTACACACTCCACCCAGCCACCCCGTCATGTCTGTATATACAGTACGTATGTTGAACTTCCTTCGAACTGTACATAGCCAGCCGTGCTTACTCGAGGTACGGGGGAAGGACAACAAACTAAACACAAAAAGAAGATCTAAAGAAATGAGGTTGTCAATCTAGATTTAAAAGTGCATAGCTCCAGTGACTTCCGAATATCGGAAGGAAGAGCATTCCAGACGGCCGCAGAAGCGCATCTGTAAACGCGCGATACAGTAACCGTCTTTGTTCGATGACCAGCCAGAAGCCACTGTGAGGATGATCGGAGTTTGCATGATGATGGTTTATGCTCCTTGACTAGGTATTGTAGTTAATTTGTACCACCAAACTCTAGTCACGTATTTTTTTATATAGGGTGGCCCAAAAGTCAGGACACAAAGGGTTATTTCGTTTATTTTAACACTAGCATTAAATATTTAAATTGTTTATTCATTTAGTTAATATTTGATCTGTTAACATTATTAATATTTATTTTTCCTGTGTGGTAACCTCAAGTCTATTGTTTACAAAACTCATTCAAAACCCCTGTATGCAGATAAAACATAATTGATGCATGTTCAAAGATTACACCAATGTTAAAATAAGTCCTAAATTTATTTCAAAAGAGAACATATGCATGAATTGATGTTAATAGAAGTCAGTTTTTAAATAAAAATTAATATAACCCTATGTGTCCTGACTTTGGGGCCACCCTGTATATATTTATTTATTTTAAACACAGGTGCTGAGCAAAAGCCCAACAAGTCAAGCAGCCAGCAACAAACAGCACCACCAACTTTGTAATGAAGAGTGAATACATATCTTGAATTGAGCAAGGTTAGAGGATTTTGGTAATGGAGCAATGCATGAGAAGAACGAGGGAAGTGAGGTAATCTGCAGTGTAGCGAGTAAGTGTGTGTGTAGGGGGGGCACAGCTGGTGCATCTCCCAGTCATCTCAGTCAGTTAACCCATGGCAACTGGGTCTGTCCTGTGACCTGTCAGCGAGCCTTGGACACTTCACGTGGCCTCGAAGTGCACCTGGCCTGGCACAGGCACCGTGGTGACGTCACCATCACTGAGTGGCGAATGGCGGGTATTGATATTGGGTGAGTGGGTGGGTGGCTGATCGGGTGCGTGGGTGATTGGGTGGGTGGGTGATTGGGTGGGTGGGTGGGTGAGTGGGACTGTGCTGTTGTGATCTGCAGTGTATTGGTTGAACACAGTGTGGATGAGATGACACAGTCTGGTAGACCGAGTCTTCAAAATATGAGGAATTAACGAGTGAAGTTCACAGGGACAGCAACCATAGTGGTAGTTACGATAGAAGAGTGATAGGGAGGCGACTGACCACCAGTGAATGCGTAACTGGAGCGAATCGGTGAGTGCTCGATCACCCTGACTGCTGTTCTAGTCTAAATTTTGCCCGGTGCAGTGAGGGAGCAGTTTGGCACTCGATCCCAAGTGTGACAGGAAGATTCAGCCATGTGTGTGTGTGTGCTTTGTTTACGTTTCAATGGCTGTGCTTTACAGGTGCTAAAAACTAAATCTGGAAATATTGGTCACTTGGTTTTTATTGGCTATTTGAGTCTTCCATTTTCTTCATGTGGGCATTTATGCAAATATCTGGTCGGCTTGAACGTGTGGTTGACGATTCGCCGTCGCGCCCTCACATTGTCGTGGTTGCAGAGGGGTGACGGTGGGCTCGTGTGCCAGTCATGCACCACACACGCGGTCCTCAGTGTCACATGTAGCTGAGTCCGGTTATCGGCCCGGATTTTACGTCCGTCTGTAACACACGGAGCCGATTGCTAGAGCTGCACAACAGTCCGAGTACAAAATGAACACTCGGGAGGGCTGCTTCACCATGGGTCCGCCAGCCTTTTCATCTTACCGACCGATGTTGTCCAAAGCGAACAAACTCCGGGCCGGTTTCGACTTCTCTGACTCTCATCAGCAGGGTATGTAACCTGTGGTTAAACAAGCGCTGCTGGACTGGCTGCAGCTGGCTGTCGCCTGAGGAAGCTAGTTGTAATTACTGGTGAAACGTTGTACTCAGATTGTAAATGTTGTGGCTTGTCTCTACAACACACCGGTGTGCTATACGAGTGACAATTTGGCATGTTTTGTTTACGTGACAACCCTTACGAGTTGGCTGAGTAAGGTGGTGGCAGGTTTTAATGACACATTTATATATTTACGTGATCTAACTAAAAAAAAAACCTCTTATGGCTGCAGCTCTTGGTACTGCACGATGCGGGGCCTCTTCGGTGCAGGCCGTGGTGATGGGCTTCCAAGCGATACGATGATACGTCAAGTACAAACGCTATGCTACTATATCGCACGCGAGATGGGAAATAACACTATGTAACACAATTTTTGTTCCTCTGTAGTGTTATTTCGTAATTGCTTATGCCTAAAAAGTATAGAAAATGGCTATTATTCCCCACAAACTTTGCTTTTGTGACCAGGACAGTGATATTTTGAAATGTATCTATTTTCAATGAGAAAACTAGCGAATTTGTGTCTTTCCATTCACATAAAGTCAGAAAAAACAACATGAATAAAAATCAACATGTATTTATACTAGAGTAATATAAAAATGACTACAAAAGATTTAGAAGTGAGTAGTTTTTCGAGATTTACGATTGTAAATCACTTTGACGAATCAGCCCCCAAAAATTTTTCGTAGTAATGTTTGTATTACTTTAATACAAATACATGTTAATTTTTATTCATATGTTGTTTTTAATCTGAGTTTACGTGAACGAAAAGACACAAATTCGTCCATTTTCTCATTGAAAATCGATAAATTTCAAAATGTCACTGTGTCCTGGTCACAAAAGCAAAATTTGTGGGGAATAATAGCAATTTTCTGTACTTTTGAGGCATAAGTAATTAGGAAATAACACTTACTACCCAGGAACAAAAAAAATGTTACACAGTGTAATTACAGATGCAATTCAGATGGTCGAAACAAGGAAAGAAATATAATTAACTCGCAAATAAACTTGTGAAGGCAACATCCGTCTCCCAGCAGCGATAAATCCTGCCAACTTTACAAATCTCATTTCCACTGCCAATCATTGCTGGCGACTTGAGTCTTCGTTTTGAGTGGTGATTGCGTTTTCTTTCATTGGCCGTTCCTGCAAGCATGGTTATTTTCATTTAAGATTTAGATGTCTCGAAATAAATGGCATTAATCGTTTTTTTAGTAATCAGAAAAAGTAAAAAAAATGTTTTTGTTGAGTTTATTTGCTTTGTAATGTTTTTTTTTAATAACAGCTTGTTAGGATTTTTGGCTGTTGTGTATATTTTGATGTTTGTAACATCGTTTGAATTATTTTCCAATGGAGCTGTTATCACCATGGGACCGCGAGGCTGAGAATTGTGACGTACACCACTGAGGGTGCAGCGCCCTGTGGTGGTATCATCATCACTACGACTACTACTACGACTCGTATTAATACTACTAATACACATTACTACTACTACTCCTACACGTATTACTACTGTAGTGACATCGGGGATGTTACTGTATGGTGCTAGCCCGGGAAGGCCGTGGCATGCAATGTACTTAAGTCGCGGACAGCACCGTGTGTGTTGCTGTTTGAGGCCGCCTCTAACATAGCACGGCGTGCGATGCACCGTCATCGCGCACACCACCGTAGGTGGGTGTAGTACCAGCCTTCGCGGGGCTTGGTGAGCGCTGGGATAGCGTGGGCACCACGCATGGCGTGTAGTGCGGGCTCCCTCAAGGGGGAGTGGGAGAGTGTCAGTCCAGGGACAGGGTTGCCCCGGGCCATGGCAGTCTGGTTGACCCCGTAGCGTAGGCACGTGCTCCGGAGTGTCCACAGAGAGGGCCCCAGGTAGGGGGGGGCTAGGGGGTCATCACGTGTCCGGGGAGAACTCTCGAGAGGGATCAAGAGGGAGCGGGAATGCTCGCGAAGGTGGGCAGGGCCTGAGGGCGGAGCCGGCCCCGACCTGGGAGGATATAAGGTGGGTCCCTGAGAGGGACCGGGGTCGCTTCGTTCTACAAGCTGGAAGCTCTACATTCTACGTCCTATGTCTGAAGAGGCACCAACACATGGCCGGGGACCCAAGTGAGGGTCCGATCCTTCGTAGCTGTGTAAGTCCTATGTATAGTGTAGTTAGCTGGGTGGTCACTACCCTAAGCTGTATCTGGTAAAGAGGCAGTTCCCCCTTTGTATATACAGTGTTACGAATAAATGAATAACGTCTGCGACTCAGTTGGACTCACTACAACTGGTGTCGGAAGTGGCCAACACGCAAGTCTATACAGCTAGCGGTAGACTACGTCTACACGTCGCAGACCACATACCAGGACGTCAGACAACGAGGAAGAGGACCTCGTGCCGCTTACAACTCTGGAGGATGCGGGGGAGACGCTGCCAGCGGAGCAGAGCGCCATCTGGGCGCGTGATGCTTCGCTGTCCCTCCGGGAGGCGCACGGTCGCCTCGCAGGGCTCCTCAATGCTGCGGCTTCGCTTCTCACGGAGATCAGTCCCACGGTCTCGCCGGTGAAGGAGGGAGCGGCGATGCCGCTCATGGACGACGACTCCACCGCCATTTCGCAGCAGGTGGGAAATTCGTCTGTGCAGCCCGCGTATTTGGCCGCCATTTAGTCGCCGGCGCGGAGCGCGCAGCCCGCCAAACTTGAAGACACGCCGTCGCTGCCGATGGACATCCCAGCTCTCCACCGTCGGCTTCCTTTTATTAAAGAGTTTGCGGCTACCAGTGGCGACTGGGTGGCCTTCAAGCGGCGGTTCCTCACGATCGCCGACTTTGCGGGATGGACGGAGGCGCTGTAGGCGTTGCCTGCCGCCCTCGACGACAACGCCCTTGCGGCGTTTCTCGCCATCCCGCCGCTGGAGATGTCTACCCTTACTCAGGCTTTCGACCAGATGGCATAAATCTACCAGCCTCCGGTGAATACGTGCCACAAGTTCGCCACGCGACGGAAGGGGGAAACCGAGTCAGCCCTCGCCTTCCGTAATGCGCTTTTGGCGCTAGCGAAAGCCGCCTTCCTGAAAATGGACTACGATGGTATCGACGCGTTGGTCCTCGCGAGACTGCTGGCCTTGGTGAATGTCTTCCACACCATTCTTCCAGCCGAAGATGATGACATCTCGTCTCTCAAGATTGCTGAGTTCATCCAAGCCCAGCAACTTCTACAACGGGACAGGGCGCAGGAGCCGGGGCCACCTGTTGGAGCGGAGCCTGTTTCGGCATGCGCATCGACTCGGGGTGGAGTCGACCGGCGTGATGGTGGGGCGCGACGGACAGACGAGCAGCGGTGACCAAGGTCGTCGTCTCGTTCCGGAGGTGGCCGTGTTACCTGCTACAATTGCAGCCTGCTGGGGCACGTGTCATCGGGCTGCCGCGTACCACAACGGTGCCTCCCAGCATCGCCGCCATCCTATGCTTCCCTACACCCTAAGGCGAGTCGCGACACACTCCACACTCGACCCCTGGCTTCACCTCGCCCATCTAGGCATTTCGGTTCACTTCCCGGTCGCGCTTCAGTACGGGAGGGTCCTATGCGTGATCGTGAGTTTCGTCCGCTCCAACCGGATCAGTAATCGGAGCTGGCCCATCGAGTGGTGGCTGCAGCCGCAGGTTCATCTGCCGTGCTTGGGTTTATTGAGGGTGTGGAAATAAGGATGCTTGTTGACACGGGTGTGTCGGCAACTATCATCTCGGAATTGATCTACAATATTTTGCCCCCTAAGTGTTGAAGCACCGTGGTTCGCCGCTAACAGCGGCTCATTGAGTATTATTGGTTGGATAATGGCCGAGGTGCGCATCGCTGATGTTACATTGTCGGGACATATTCATTGTCTCCACGTTCCTGGCTGTTCCATGTTTACTTGGAACCGATTTCTTTGGAAGGATGCCTTTGAAAATCCGCATTGACCGGCCGTCATATGTAATTTTTGCCTTCACCCACCCGTTTGTGTACGGCCAACGCTACGGTGCAGGTGCTCGCGCGCCGAACGGTCAGAATTCTCCCCGGCGCGCAGATGTTAGTTCCCCTCTGCTTAAGGAAGCTTCTCGATTTGGGGGCTATGAAGTTTCTAAGGTCAGTTTGGACTGACTTTAGTGTCCAACGACCAGGAACCTTTTATTCAGGTTCTTAATGCTGGGTTGGACACCACGGTCATCCAGGAGGGTACTGTGTTGGCTCATGCGTCGCCGGTGCGTCCGGAAGGGGGCGTCGTCGGGAATGTGGGTGCTGAGTTTTGCACACGACAAACCCGGGACGTGGATAAAGGTTGGATAAACAAACTACGTGCTGAGAGTGGCGCTTTGTCCACGGACCAGATAGGGAAGCTGCGGGTGTTCTTGTGTGAATTTTCGGATATTTTTAGCAGGGGAAAATTTTATATTGGATGCACGACGCTCTCGAGTCACCACATTGATACGGGCGACGCGGCCCCTATCCGGCAGAATCTCTACCGGCTGAGCCCTGCGGAGAAGGAACATGTTCAGCTGGCGGTTTGATGATATGTTGGCCGCAGACATCATCTCATCATCCACCAGTCCCTGGGGAGCTCCTATTGTGCTTGTGAAGAAGCACAATGGTAGCTTACGATTTTGCGTTGATTTTTGAAATCTTAATAAGGTTTCTGTTGCGGATGCGTATCCCTTGCCTCGCATTTATGATTGGCTTGACACGTTGGTGGGGGCACGTTTCTTTTCTACCCTCGATCTCCTATCCGGCTTCTGGCAGTTGCCGCTTGACAATGCTTCTAAACCTAAGACAGCTTTTCGTACGCCTCAGGATTGTTCGAATTTAATCGGCTTCCTATGGGGCTTCATTCTGCGCCAGCCACATTCCAACGTTTGATAGAACTGGTCCTGGCGGGTCTCCAGTGGGACTCGTGTTTGATATATCTCGACGATGTAATCGTCTTCAGCCGCACTTTCGATGACCACTTGGTCCGCCTGCGTGCTGTCTTCCTCAAAATACATGCGGCTAACCTTGAATTTAAACCTCAGAAATGTCACCTCCAGAAATTGGTTCGGTATCTTGGCCACATTGTTAACGTATCGGGTATTGCGACCGACCCGGAGAAAACTGCGTACGTCCGAACTTGGCCGACCCCCACCTCAGTGAGTGAGGTGCGCAATTTCATTGGCTTTGCATCCTATCGCCGTTTCGTTGCCAGGTTCGCGTCAATTGCAAAACCTCTCCACGCGTTAACGGCTAAGGGTCATGCGTTTCTTTGGGGGGAGGAAGAGGAGGCTGCATTTCGTGCCATTCGCGATGGATTGGTGAACGCCCCTCCCCTGTGTTATCCGGATTTTTCATTGCTATTCATCCTTGATACGGACGCTAGCAATACCGGAATTGGAACCGTCTTGTCGCAGGGTGGATAGCATTGTTGCGTACGGCAGTAGGATGCTGTCTCCGGTTGAATAGCGGTACTGTGTTATGCGCCATGAATTGCTGGCCATTGTGCTTTTTTGTGCAGCAATATCGCCCCTACTTGTACAGTAGACGATTTGAGGTGCGCTCCGATCATGCAGCGCTCTAATATGTGCTGCGTGTGGACCAGCCGTCAGGCCAATTATCACGCTGGCTGGAGATCCTGCAGGACTTCTCGTTCCATGTCACATACCGCAAAGGTTCTCGTCATACGAATGCTGATGCCCTGTTGCGATTACCAACGACCGGAGGGTTTGCATGTTTTTCGGGTTCCGGGCGCTGTAAACCGACCGATGTGACCTCGCTTTCTCCTCTTGCGGCATCTGCCGATGCGGCGACAGGCGGGACGGGCGCCAGTCCGGTCGCACGGGATGCGTTCATTGGCTTGGATTACGAGGAATGGGGACGCCTTCAGGCAGAAGACGCTTCGCTACTCAAATTGCAGCGTCGTCTGAGGGAAGCTGATGGGGGCACGGATCGACGCGGCGTCGCCTCGGTCATTCTGCGGGGCAGCTGAGTCATGCATTGGCATACAGGGGGCTACACCGTTATACCATTGTCGTCCCCACTTCCCTCCAAGGCAAGGTTGTTTGGGCTGTGCCTGAGCGTCTCTTGCACCTGGGCGTGCAGAAGATGCTGGCCATGCTGAAACTGGATTTCTATTGGCTCGAGGGAACAAATACCTGCTTGTGGGGGTTGAGTATTTTCACGATGGCCTGTCACCTGGCCGCTCGCTAATAAATCGGTTGTGACTATTACTGAGGCATTCCTCAATGGTTATGTTATGGACAAGGGCGCTCCTGAACGCCTTTTGACCGATCAGGGCAAGAATTTATCTTATAAATTGCTGCATGAGGTCTGCGCTTTGTTGGTGAACAAAAAAGGTGCGCACGTCGCTGTACCACCCGCAGACGGATAACATGCTTGAACGGCTACATAGGACTCTGACCTCTATGTTGAGCCACCAGGTCAGTGAGTCACAACTCGATTGGGACTTGCACATCCCGATGGTCCTCGCCGCTTACAGGATGGCCCCGCACGCGTCCACCGGCTACTCACCATTGTTTTTTTATGTATGGAAGGGAATACGACTCCCCCCCCCCCCATCGATGTGCAGTTACAGGCCACGCCCAAAATGTATAAATACAAGATTTCTGACTCGTTTCACTCTTCAAAAGCTTTCCGAGGCACGAGAAGCTTCCAGGGTTAATTCCGAGTCGCGACAATTTGCCAAAAAATGGACACCTGGGGACAAGGCCTAGTTGCACTGTCCGCAGGTGCCGGTGGGTACATCGCCTAAGTTACTCCAGCCCTGGAGGGGGCCGGTCGATGTTGTTTCGGTTGTTCGACCACAGTGTGTCTAAATCAGCTTGGGTCGGCGGAGTTGGTTTGTGCATCCCTCTTGCCTGAAACTGTTTATCGCACCGCACAAATTCGTTTCATCTCCATATCGCAGGGGTCAAGTGTCGAATGTGTCCGACGAGCCGAGGTGTGTGCCTGCTGAGGTTGGTCCTCAGCGGAGCGATTCTGTTCCGCCCCCAGGTGCTGCGCGACTGACGTCTCTCGAACGGTCGCGCATGCCGGCTTCGCAGGCTTCGAGCGCGGAGGACCCGTCGATCCGGCGGCCTACTGCTCTCTGTGAGGAGCCGGGTTCGGCGGAACATTTGTACATTCCCCGCGGGACCTCCAGGGTGAGCGAGCCCACCTCCCCTGGGGGCCTGGCATCATGGACTTGCTCAAAGACTCGTTTTTCGTGATCCCCTTACACACACACTCCCACGCTGTCAGTTGCTTGTCGCGCTCGTTGAGTCGTGGAGGTTATTGGCTGATCCTGGCCGCTATTGAGCTCACGAGCGTCATTACACGGTGAAGGTGGGAGGTGTGGTGGTGGAGGAGATCCCGAGGGTTCACACGTTTTCCTTGTTGTGTGGTATTGTTTTGAGTTTGTTGGTTTACATCCTTCTCCCTGCTGGTTTTGTACATTTGTGGATAGTGTCATTTTTGTACAGGTGGGTTGAGGTGTTTATCGCTGTTCTTGTTATTGTTGAGGCACACTGTGTTTTTTTTTTCTCTTGCATTTCACTAATTTGTTCGTTTGGAGGGGGAGTTTACAGCCAGGACGGCTGAATGCTTCGAGGGGGGAGGTTGATGTAGTGACATCATGGATGTCACTGTATGGTGCCGGCCCGGGAGGGCCGTGGCGTTAGATGTACTTACGTCGCAGACAGCATCGTGTGTGTTGCTGTGTGAGGCCGGCTCTAGCATAGCACGGCATGCGATGTACCATCATCGCATACACTCCGTAGGTGGGTGTAGTACCAGCCCTAGCGGGGCTTGGTGAGCGCTGGCATCACGCATGGAGTGTAGTGCAGGCTCCCACAAGGGGGAGCGAGAGAGTGTCAGCCCAGGGACAGGGTTGCCCCGGGCCATGGCACTGGTTGACCCCCTAGGCACGTGATCCTGAGTGTCCACAGAGAGGGCCCCAGGTGGGGGGGCTAGGAGGTGATCACGTGTCCGGGGAGAGCTCTCGAGGGAGCTAGAATGATCATGAAGGTGGGCGGGGCCGAGGGCAGAGCTGGCCCTGACCCGGGAGGATATAAGGTCTGTCCCTTAGAGGGACTGGGGTTGCTTCGTTCTACCAGCTGGAAGCTCTACGTCCTACGTCTGAAGAGGCACCAACAAGTCGCCGGGGACCCGAGTGAGGGTCCAACCCTTCGTAGCTGTAATTCCTATGTATAGTGTAGTTAGCTGGGTGGTTTCCACCCTCGGCTGGATCTGGTAAAAGGGGCAGTTACCCCTTTGTGTATACGTGTTATAAATAAATGTGTTGCCTCTGAAGAACAACGTCTGCGACTCAGTTGGAATCACTACACTACTGCTACTCCTACACTTATTACTACTACACATTACTACTACTACTCTTACGCGTATTACTACTATACATCACTACTACTACTACGACACGTATTACTACTACTACCACTCCACATTACTACTACTACTGCATGTATTACTACCATTACTACTACTGCACGTATTTACCGAGCAAAGCTGCAATGAGTTTCAAGACTCTTTTTCAGGAGGGTCCTGCCAGGTTTTCGCAGCGAGAGGTGATGTCACTATTGAGTAACAATTTGATTCTCACGGTTGGCTATGTACGGTGTGAAAGAAGTTCAACATATATACATATTCGGTACTTGAATGTGTTTTGAACCAGTACCAGTTACATGATATGTTTATGTTTGTTTTAGCGATATGGAAAAGAACTCCAGAGTACCCCAGAGTATCCCGGAGTATCACGGAGTACCCCAGAGTACCCCAGAGTAAACCGATGCAGACCAGGTGGAGAGAGAACATATTGACTCCACATAGAATGACGCCCAAGTCGGGAATCGAACCCAGGAGCTACTTGCTGCGAAGCCTTGAAGTGCAGTTCACTACGTGCCAGTCATTCAGTATATATTTAGAGCATTGAGCCCACAGAGCTGGGCTGGGCAGAAATAAGCAAAAAATGTATTGTTCTATTTTGGTGCAATAATAACGGGCGATTGGCCAAAGAACATTAGAGTTTCTCGACTTGACAATCTGGTTAAAACTTGAGTAGCTAAAGCCCAGATGCATAGCCAGCATCTCATAGGCACTAACTCATTCCTCCGACAAGGCCATTATGGGCTAACGGGGTCACGCGGTCAGTAAGCGTTACACAGGTGGACCCTACTGCAACTGCTTGCAGTTGGCAGGCTAATGCACGAGTGTTACGCATGCTGTATGTGTTTGTTATGTCCGTGCATGATTCTTTGTTGTTGTAGACCGATGTTAACAGTATGCATGCGTTTTGTTGTTGAGTTAATAGGGAAGTGCATTATTATCAACTACCGCTGAAAGGGATTTATGGGGGCAAAGCGGAGGCTTCCTTATCAGGCTGGCTTGCAGGGCCCACAATTGTTTCCAGGCTCCTGCTAAATTAAGTCTCTTCTTTAGCCTTTGTCAGCCTGTACACGTATGTGTGTGTGTGGGGAGCGGTAGTGCAATGGTTAGCGTGCTGTGCTACGAACCCAGTAACCCGAGTTTGATTCCCACTCACGGCCAACACCAGTGACGATTATCTGAGCCAGTCCTGGGCCTACCCTCGGTGGACTCAGTCTCAAATGAGTATCTGGTGCAGTGTGTAAATATTGCAACTCAGGAGACAAAGTTGGCCGGGCGTGGTGCTGGCCACCCACCCCCTTGTGTGCTGTGCCGGCCTTCACAGGTGCTCGCTAACAGGACTTGCCCCAACAGACTGTTAAAGGCTATATGGGGGATCTTTGTGTGTGCGGAGCGATGGGTGGCTAAAACGCAGAGAGTTGGCACAGTGGGAAGCACAGCGGGTGCATCTGCCAGCCACCTCAGTCAGTCAACCCATGGCATCCGCTGGGTCTCGTCCGTGATTTCCTGCCAGCAGGCTTTCGACACTTCAAGTGTCCTCAAAGTGCACCTAGCATAGCACAAGCGCCTTGGTGACGTCACCGCCACTTAGTGGTGAGCGGAGTGTGTTGTTATTGTTGTTATTGTCTGTAATTGGAAGTAGCCATCCTCTGTGAGTGGCTAGCTGAGGTATTATCTGTTAAGAAAGTACGAAAAGGAAAAGCGCCAGGCAGACGTGATATCCCAAGCGAACTGATGAGGGAGGGTGGTGTTTGTGTGTAGACTGCCCTATATTACATCATCACCACAGTCTGGACCACAGGATCGGTTCTGCAGCATTGGAAGGATGCCCTGGTGCACCCCCTCTTTAAGAAGGGAGACCCTCCTGATTGTGACAACTACCGAAACATCTCTCTCCTTAGTGTACCAGGATAGGTCCTGGCAAGGATTTTTCAACATCGCCTTGCCAGGCACGTTGAGGAGAGGCTTGCAAAGCCCAAGTGTTTCAGGCTGGAGTGGTTTCCATGGATGCAATATTCTCTGTCCGTTTGCCAGAGCAGAAGTGTAGGGAAATTCAACGGAACCTACATCTCTGCTTTATTGACCTCATCCAGGCCCATGATACCATCAATAGGCCAGGCTCTGGGTCAGTCTTCATGCTTTAGGGGTCTCTGACTCTTTGCTCACAATCATTAAGGACCTTCATAATGGTGGGCAGGTCTGGCTAAAGCTGTGTGGCTGGCAGTAAGGGACATTCCCTTTTCACCTTAAACAATGTAGTTCGAGAAACTTTCCATGGCTGTACCAGAGGACGTTCCATCTGGTACAGATATACAGTGAAGGAAAACGTATTTGATCCCCTGCTGATTTTGTACATTTGCCCACTGACAAAGAAATGATCAGTCTATAATTTTAATGGTAGGTTTATTTAAACAGTGAGAGACAGAATAACAACAAAAAAATCCAGAAAAACGCATGTCAAAAATTTTATAAATTGATTGGCATTTTAATGAGGGAAATAAATATTTGACCCCTCTGCAAAACATGACTTAGTACTTGGTGGCAAAAC